GGCACAGGGCAGGGCAGTGTGTTGCCTACGGTGACACAGGGTCCCCACCACTTCCTGCTGCTCCTCCTCCACCGAAGCAGGATCTGTCTGTGCGACCAACAGAAAGTGGCGGGAGTGCTGCCACGCCACTTCCAAGGCTTGTGGCTTTTGGCTTGGCTGCCCTCTGTCCTGTTGGCACTGACATGAGGGGCCATAAGCCCACAGCCACATGGTGAGATAGCAGCCACAGCCTCACTGCAGCTTGTGGGAGGCCCCAGGCTGGAGCCACCAGGCTGATCTGCGCCTGGGTTCCTGACGCCCAGAACCCGTGAGAGATGACGGTGCTGCTTTAAGCTGCTAACCCTGGGATAAGCGATGAGTCCCAACACAGGTAAGGGACAAGGCTGGGATTAAGCCCAGGTCTTCTGCTGCTGCATCCCCTCCTGGCCCCCACTCGGCCAGCCATCGTGGCCCTTGAGGACTCTTTCCCCAACCCCTCTGAAAGTCTCCAGGAGCCTTGGGATGTTCTGGGAAGTCTGCAAGGCTGTCAGATTTGTGGAGGACACGCCACCGTTGGAATCAGTCTTGCTTGTGCAGATGCTTCAATCCCTCCCGACTTGCTTGCCTTAACCACTTCGGTCCGGCGCTCACCGGCCGCGACGCCTCGCCCACAGCCGCACGCGCAGTCGCACGGGGCCTGCGCTGCGCGTTGACGGCGCGTCGGTCTTGCTCTCGTGTGACGAGGAAAGCCTGAAAGCACCGAGAGCTTGTTGTACTTCACAGGCAGCTTTCCTTGTCATGTAAATCAGAAGAGGTAACATATGCATGTATGTTTTCATTACATTATTTTTAAATGTTCACAATTTTATTTTGATAAATGAAAGATTAGAAAAGTTGTATCACGGCTGTCAGCTAAAGTGGCGCTCGGCTGCGCCTTCACATCACGGCTGTCGGCTACAGTCGCTGTGCGCGTCCACCTGTGGCTGTCGACTACAGTCCACGCTCGTACCGAAGTGGTTAAGGAGCTTCAGGGCGGCGGCCACTGTCTGCGTCCAGGGCTGCAACAATTTTCAGGCATCCCAGAGTGAAGCCGAGCTGAACGGCCTTGTGGTGCTGTCACCTTGTTGGCCTGAGCTCCTGTGCACTCTCATCCCTGTCTGTCCTGGGCTGGAGCTCCTTGATCCCCGCTTGGGGAGCTGGAGGGCGGCCTGGGTGCCGCTTAGGCCTTGGTGCCACCAGGCACCTGTCACCGGACTTCGGAAGGCTTGTCCGATAACCTGAGTCTCAACTCCTCCTGGGAACAGAGTGGGTGATACACCTCTCGGTGTTTTACTCCCCTGTGAGAAGTGCCTGCCTGGAAATTTCTGCTGCTTTCTGCTGAAAGAAATTACGATTGCTGAGATCCAAATAGCCTCGGGAAGGGGACAGCCTCCTGACGCAAGCAAGCAGAAACGCTCCCTGGAGAAGGCGTGGCCTGGCATCGGGCGGGCGCCAGCCGAGAGGAGGTGGTCGCGCTTCTCATTTCCAGGGTCTCCTTTTACTCTCTGAGGGCTCTCGTTTCCCATATCCTCTTATCTCTGTGCAGACATTCATTAACATACGTTTTAAAAACTCCGTTCCATTTTTGTGCTGTGTCTGAAGATTCCAGCCTTTTCCCGTTCTGCCCGTCTTGGTCTCGGCCGTCCTCCGCGCCAGGGTCCTCGCTGCCTGCCGGTGTGTCGGCGCAGCTGGGCGCGGCCGCAGGAGCCGTGAGTGGCGGCGCGGGCTGCCTGGCGAACGACGAGCTTCCCAGTAGGACGCCTTGCTCCGCCATGTCCTGGAGGGCCTCCGAGCGTCAGGGTCTTGGTCTCTTCTCTGGGCTCGTCAGGCAGCCTTTGGTCGTCTACCTGGTGTGGACGGGTGGGTGTCACCTGCTCCCATGGCATCTGGGACAGACTTTCAGAAACCCGCAACCCTCTCCCTGTCTGCACCCCCTCTTCAGAGGCGAGTGCCTCCAGCTGCAGACCGCCTGGGTTCCACGGCGCACACCAGTTTCCCTGTGGGTGCCCGTCTTTGGGAACCACTCGCTGAGTGAAGCCCTGCTGCCTTAGGCTCCAAGCAGTTCCCAGCGCCATCTACCTCTGGCTTCCGAAATCCCAAGAGCCACGCGATCCACGTCCTGTCCTTCTGCCTCCGTGCGTTTTTGTGTTTTACCTTTTACTGACACCTCAGCAGGCTCTTGGGTGAGAGGGCGTTCGGTCTACGATGTTTACCAGGGTTCTCTGGGCTCCTGCACAGAACCCAATATTTAGTCCAAACAGGCTTCACTCAGCCAGTGGGTCCCAAAGACGGAGTCAGGGCCGGGCCTGTGCTGGAGCCTGGGCACTCGGCAGTGAGTGGACAATGGTCGCCATGCTCCTGTCAGTGTTGGCACCAGGGGCCAGTGCGGCGGCGGGGGGCAAGGGCTGAGGGTGGGAGGCTGGACTCACTCAGGAGTCTCTTGGGGACACGGGGTGTGGAAGTGGCTCCAGGCGGGAAGCACATGCGCAGCGGCTGGAACACCCCCCGAACACGGCCTGGAGGGACCCGGAGCTGTGCAGGTGGCCAGGGAGTCCCCGACACGCTGGGCTCTGGGGACACGATGCCTGGGCGCGGATCCTGGCCCCAGCACTGACAGGCCTGGCCCTGGGTGAGTCACTTTCCTCTTTGTGCCTCAGTTTCCTTACTGATAAACTGGGGGACCCACAGTGCCCTCTCAGAGGGTGACTGTGGATGAAGGAGAGGATGCGCAGTGTGGGCCACGGCTCAGCAGCGGCCCCTGTTGATGCTAGTAATGATGTGCGTGGAGGAAGGCGGGCCACCACCGCGGGGCCCATGCTAGGACAAGGCCTGGCCGTAGCCCGGGCGGTGTCAGCGCCTCAGAGCTCGCAGGGCTGGGGAGAGGCGAGATCCCGACAGGCCCGGGTGAGGCAGGCAAAACCTGGGCAACATCTCATGCAGCCCACCGTACCTGGACGCCCCCTCTGGCGCCCGGCGCAGCTGTGGGGCTAGGGTCTGGCGCGCAGCAGGGGCCCCTGCCGCGTGTGGACCTGGCTGGAGCAGCTCTGGCCGCCCCACCCAGAGGCCCGCTCCCCACTGACCTCGGGCTCCGAGCCGCCTGCATCTTGCCCTCCAGGAGCTTTGCCTGCCTGCTTGGCCACACCTGGCTGCTGCTCCTCTGTCCCCCGGAAGCCCATTAAGTCTTGCCGGATCTCCGCAGGAAAGAGCCCCACCTTGCCACCCTCGAGACAGGCAGGAGGTGTCCCCAGGGGCTCAGCCCACCTGTGCTGATCGCGATGTGCCTCGGGGCCCAGGCAGGTGTTTGTCGGTGAATGGGGCCCATTCCCCACCTGAAGCCGCAGCCGTGAGATCACAATGCGGGTGCTCAGGGACACTGAGGCTGCCATGACAAATGACCACAAACTTAGTGACCTAAAGGAGCACATATCTTCTCCCTTACAGCCTGTGGGCTGGAAGTCCCACATGGGTCCCACTGACTGGGATGCACAAGGTGCCGGCAGCTGAGCTCCCCCAGCGGCCAGGGGCCCCGCGCCCCTCAGCTCCCGGCCCCTCCCTCCAGCTGCAAAGCCAGCCGTGGCCGGGCCAGTCCCCACACTCCCACATCACGTCTCCCTGACCCTTCTTCCATTGTTCCATCTCCCTCTAAGCACAGCCAGAATGGCTCTCCACGCTCAAGGACCCGTGTGACTAGATGGGTCCCACCTGGAGAGTCGGGGTGCTCTGTCTCCCCGTCTAGTCCGCGGCTCCATCGCGCGTGCAAACCCCAGCCAGGGCCGTGCTCTGCCTGCGCTGCTGCAGCCGGATGCCGGGGCTGAGGCCCCCTAGCGCCCACCCTCCAAGCATCGGCCACGTGCCTGGGGCTTCGGCATAAGCTAAGTTGACCTCTCTGAGCCTCAGTGTCTCCATATGTCGAATGGATATAACGACAGTGCTGCCCCACGTGCTGCAGAAAGGACGACACGGAGCCTGGACGGGGCGGTGAGCACAGGCCGTGTCACCCCCAGCACGGCGGGCGGCGCCGTGGCCCCATCAGGCGGGCTTCGTGACCCCGTCAGGCGGGCTTCGTGACCCCGTCAGGCGGGCTTCGTGACCTGGCGGGTCACCCTGTGACGCTGAGCAGTGTGAACCCTCTATGGATACAGGCAGTCAGAAAGGTTGATCAGTGTCCCAGGTCATGCAGCCAAGAGGTGGCCTCCTCCTGCCCGTGCTCCGTGCTGGGCTGTGGGGGACGGAGGGCTGGCAGAGGCCCCTGCCAGCTGGCTGCCAGCACAGCTCCTGCCATCCTGCTGCGGAGCCTGAGCCCCAAACGCCCCCGTGAGAGCCAGAGGCAGGGCCTGGCTCTGGGGAAGGTCTGGGAAAAGCTGCGGGTGTGCAGAGCTCGTCCCCACGCCCTCTCCTGCTCCCTCGACAGCCGCACCCGCAGCAGCAGCGGTGGCCAGGCTGGGCCTCTCTGGCGTCCGGAGGGCCCCGGTGTCCCCTCCCAGACCTCCACTCCCTGGGACCTCAGGCATGGCATGGTGGTGCTGCTGGGTGGGGCGCTGGATTAGGGTTAGCCGGCCCAAGCTGGAAATGCCCTGGTTCCAGCTAGTCCTACCCGTGTGACCTTTACCCTCTCTGAACCTGAGCGTCTCCATCGGGGCCGTGCCCCCGTGGAGGGTGCAGTGTCGGGAAAGCACGGTGGGCTCTGCTCACCGCTCCAAAGCAGCACGGCTCCCGCTTGCTTGCGGACTGCTGTGTGCCCGTCGCGGTGCCAGGCACGCTCACCTGCGCGCCCAACCCCAGACCCGGCGGTGGGGGGACCGTCAGCTCCCTTCTTCAGGTGTGAGTTCAGAGCTCAGAAAGGCTGTGAGTTGCACCAGCAGCCACAGGTGGCAAAGACTAGATGTGAGCCAAGCCTCTCAGTGACAAAGGCAGCATGCGCCCCATACTCCGCGCGTCCCTGCGGTGTGCCGCACCGAAAACAGCAGCATTCGGAGCCTCACTGCAGACGGAACGTTTGTTATTTTATTGGAAAAAGCTGGTATTAACATATTTATAGTTTCACTCAACAGTTGAATAACTCGTGAGACATCAAAGAAAAAAGAATGCACCTAGGAGGTAGGGTCCGGAACCACGGGCTCTGACAGCCCTACCGCCACGCCCCCACTGCCACCACCAACAGCGCCATCCTGGGGCCAGCTGAGTTAAAACAGAAACGAGGAAACCCCACAACTTCACAACGACCCTGCGAGCGCCCGCTCGCTCCAGCTGGCTGGGAAGTTTAGCAGCGTGCGATGCGGAGTCTGCGACCACATACCACCGGCCCTCCCGAGTTCCAGGCCTGCCCCCCTACGTCTTCTCTCAGCAGCGTTTGATCTTCGCAGCTTGCTTTGGACACCAGTATTTTCCAGGAGTCCAAAGTCCAAAGACATACTTTTCTTCAGAGAAGATCTCTTTCTTTCTTTTCTTTTCCCTTTTTGGTTTGGTACCCAAAGTTTAAAACAGAAGTAAGGAACTAGAAACTCCTTTTGAAGACTGTGAGCTTTGTACTTTTAAGATGATAAATGTTAAATCTACAATTTGACAGTAACCTCTAGCTGCAAATGTAAATTTCCTCTCTTAACAAATCTGACTCACAAAGGGAAATGACCATGCCAAATATCCAAGAAATTGTGTAAGGCCCTCAGAGCTGGATTTTGGCTTCAACAGATTTCTATACAATTTACCACATTCTTGAACCTCTTTACATGGGGAAAAAACTGATCCAATCCTTTGATTGTTAAATCTAATTAGAATAGATATGTACATATAATACTGTCCAGGTCACCTGGATTTTACAGTGATATATAAACAAACATTCTTCATTCATGTTGATTAAAAAAAATGGATCCACTTCCCTGTGCGGGTGCTGCGTGGCCGGAAGTGAGTGGACGTGCGCTCTGTGCTTTTACACACACAAAGCATGCCATGATCCACTGAGAACATTCTCAGTTGGGTCTATTTCCTGGGTTATGTTTCATCTTGTAAAAAAAATAAAATAAAATAAGCTGGATTCTGCCAGGCCTCTGCACTCTGCTTTCCGAATCAAAATGCCAGGCCAGGTGGTTCTGCTGAGATTCCACGAGCAAAGATGACACGGGGTGGGTGGCCTGGTCTTACCAGGACATGAGGGTCTACTGTGGAAAAGCCACACTCTCTGTGGCCCTCCGTGTCAGAGGGAAGAGCTCCCCCTCGACAGCACCCTCTGGGACTACGTGGTCCTTAAAGAAAACATACCCTAAAATACCCTAACATGCAATTTCCTCTCGGGCGCAGTTCAGTGCATTTGAGAAAGGAGCACCGGGGCAGGCTCGGGCGAAGCCAGGAGTCCCAGAGAGGGCCGAACTCCTGACGTCACCAAGCCGGAGACGGGCCACCTGTGGGTCTTCTCCAGCTTCCCAGGACCCTTGCACTTCACAAGAGGAGGAAGCGTTTCGCTTCCAGAACCCTCCGTATAATGTTGCTTTAATATGAGCCACCAACGTGCTGGACTGGGAAGAGCCTCGTGCGAGGACCTGGGCAGGGCTCTGGACTCCGCCGAGCGGCTGGTGCCTGCCCACCAACTTGTCTGTCTGCTCAAAGCCTTGGTCTCCGCACGTGGGCAGGGGATAAGGAGTGTCTGCCTCTTGCCCTGGCACTGGCCCGGAGCCTGGCAGGAGCGAGCGGTTGGTGTGCATGGAGATGAGTGGACGCCCACCGCATGGCCGTGAGAGGGCTGCACAGAGGTGGACGGGAGCCGGGGTCAGCTTCCGGAAGGTGCCCAGTGAGCGCTGAGGACCGCGGGAGAGCTCCTGCAGAGAGCGGCGGGTGGGGTGAACCCGCTCCAGGCCGAGCACTGCCCGGCACCTGGCAGAGGCTCAGCGAATGGTGGTGAAACCGGGTGAGGACCACAGCCACGCTGGCCGAGCCATTCTCTACCCTTTCCTCTCAGGAAACCGTACCAGTCCTGGGCCCTGGGACACTGAAAGACATTCGGAAACCTGAGCGAGAGGCCTGCATCGCCGCTGCAACTTCTCAGCGTGAATTCACCATCCAAAAACAAAGGTGACAAAATCCGCTCTGAGACAGGGCAAACAGCCCCATGTATAATCCAAAGAGCCCTGGCTGGCTGAGCTTCCTTACGGGGCCCTGACCTGGGACCAGCGAGGCGCGTGGGGGCAGCTCCAGCAGCTCCACACCCACCCGACCGGCCGCCCAAGGGCCTGGAGTGAAACGTTAACCTGGACATGTAAAAATCCCATGGATATGGGGCCGCAGACGAGTCAGAGGGCACGTGAATGAAGGAACCCTGAACTGCAAGATTCGACAGTCCATTTTATGATTTGCAGCCGTGGACCCTGCCTTTCCTCTTTGTTAGACAGCCACTGCCAAAGGCAGTGCTGGCCCAGAGAAGCTGGCGGGGCCAGGCCCAAGCTTCCCAGGCCCGCACACTGCCACCTCTGCCACCGTCCTTACCGCCACTCGGATTTCCTCCCCTCCTCGCGCCGGGGTCGCGCGGCCGCGTCGGGGACAAGGGCACACGCCTCTGCACACCTAGTGCATGTCGGAGTTCGCCTTGTCCTGGAAGATGTACAGGTTGTTGGTGGCCGCGATGGCAATGATGTTCTCGGCCGGGTGCCAGGCTGTGTGCAGGATCTTCTTGGTGAAGTCCAAGCTGTCCACGCTGATGTCATCGCGCCGGCGCTTGCCGCCCACACACACGCGCCGGGGCTTGAGCACGGCCCGGGGCTTGCTGCTCTCCCGAGAGGCCTCCAGGGTCACGTCCCGCTTGGTGTTGCGGTCGAACATGCGGAAGAAGTTGTTGTAGGCTCCTGTCATGATGACGCTGGCGGGAGAAGGACAGGCATCAGGCGGGAGGACGATAGACACCTGTCTCTTCTCAAGAAACAGCCCCAGAGCCCTCGGGCCATCGCTGCCTGGAAGGGGCCCACCCCGCCTCGGTGCCCGCCGCTCGGTCCCTTGTGCCCTCACGTTCCAGCTGCCATCACCACGCGGATTTGGAGCTAAGACAGCTTTAATGCTCAGCCCCACACATGATAAAAAGACCCTCTTGTACTTCCCTGTTAGCCCCGGAGAGACGGCCCCCGGCTTTCAGAGACTGTGCGACCACACGGGGAAGCAGACACAGGCGTCACCGGGACAGAAGCTCCGCGGCGGACACAGGGCAGGCCTCGGGGTCCAGGGGACCGTCCTTCCCTCCAGGAACCCAGGACTCGCCTGCCCGAGCAGATGGGTGAGCCGTGAGTGTGCACTGCCGTGGAGAGGGGCACTCGCGTGCAGGTGGCCGCAGACCCCCGCCCCACCAAGGATTTCCCACCTGTGCACTCCCCGTCCCGCCTCTCCCCTCCTCTCCCAAGGAGAAAGGGTGAGCGAATGTGCACGACAAGGGCAGGAGAGGACATGCAGCCAGCGGGCCTGCGCCCAAAGGGTCTTGGGGTGTGACCCCTGTGAGGCCCGGAGCAGCTGTGGGGTGCAAGGCACCTGGGGGGGCTGAGGAAGAGGGGTCCAGAAAGCAAAAATGAGGGTGAAGAAGTGGTTCTGTTTAAGGTGCTTCACAGAGGTCCCCAGAAAGTGGAAATCCTTTTATTCCTTTGGAGCCGAGCTGTGCTTCTGGGGGTGACACTGCTGGAGACAGGACCACGTGGGTCTGGGTTTCCAAGGGTCACTGCTGACAAGGCTTCCGCGTCATCCGCGCCACCCGCGCCACACCGCACGGCGGGGGAGCAGGCCCGGCCCACCTGGACAGGACAGGGCATCTTATCAGGCACCTGGGGCCTGCAGGGCTCAGATGCTCCAGGACCGGCTCCGGGGAAACTGCACGATGCCCTGTCACAGGCTGCAGGGGACACATTCCCTCGTAACAAGGTTTCCTTTCCATATTCATGGGGCGAACGATGAGTGTATCAAATCAGGGTATGTAGGACATCCATCACCTGGAACATTTACCGTTTCTTTGTGTTGGGAACCTTTCAAATTTCTCCCAGCCGCTCTGAAATATACAATAAACTGCAGCTGACAACAGCCCCACCGCGCACGGAGCGCAGACCCGCTGCTCCTCTGGCGGCACGTTTGTGTCCTTAACGGGCGTTTCCTCCCGTGGGAGGAGTGGCGTCAGGAGAGCGTGGTGCCCAAGGCCCCGCCTGGGACGTCTCTGGGGAACGGGAGGACGAGGACGAGGACGGGCGGGGGTTGGGAAGGTGCCCCTCGTCCCGCCTGTGGGCCGGTTCTCGCCGTCCCTCTGGATGGGCGTGCTGGGAAGTGCCCTGTGCCCGGCTCGCGGAGCTGCGCCCCGGTCGTCTCCCCGGCAGAGGGTGGGGTGACGGCTAATATCTCCCAAGGTTGAAGGCACGGCGCTGCGAAAAGAAAGGACCCTACCCAGACGCCCTGCTTGCTGGCAAGTCCGCGCTCAGAGTTCTGGCCTGCTCACTTCCTCATGGAAAGAACCTTCTCCTCAGCTTGGGGACTGGCAAATTTTGGCCAAGAGTCCCTTGAGGTGACTTGAGGGTTTCAGCCTGGCCCAGAGTGGCTCTGGTGGCTTCCTGCCCAGCCCGTGTGGTCCCTGGAGCCCACGGTCTGCAGCGCTGGCCCCTCTAGGAGGGGGGTGCCGGCAGGCAGACACCCTCCAGCAGGGCTCTCTGGGCGTCTGGGGCTCCCAGGCTCGCAAGGGAGAGGGAGCCCATCAGGGCAGGGAGCGCACACCAGAGGCGGTTGCAGAAGAGCGCCATGAAAAGGCTACTTACAAATGTTCTGGAAGGTTCTAAGGGAACCACAAGGGAAAGTGCAATGCCTTGGGGCTGGTAAGTTTGAGGATTCTGTCACCCGCCAACCCCAGACCAGAGGGGTGAGGGGAGGGAAGCGTTACCAGAGAGACAGACAGAGATGACAGAGAGAGACAGAGAGAGGGGGAGACATGGGGAGAAAGACAGAGCTAGAGAGAGACTGAGGGGCGAGAGAGTGGTGACGCCGTGTGACGAGGCCACCATCAGGAGCTGTCACTGAGGCTGCGGTCGCCCCAAGGCAGCAGACCGCGAGGAACGGACGCCGGCCTCTCCCCTGCCACCCCAGCACCTTTGTGGCCCCACTGGTTGGGCCCAGCCAGACGCCCGGGGCAGGAGCCCGGTGGCCATGACGACTGGTGGGAGACGCTGAGCACTGCGCTGCCCAACACAGGGCTCGCCAAGCCTGCGGCTCCGCCCCATCTGTGTCCCCCGCCCGGCTCGGCCTCCAGTGGCCCAGTGCTCTGTGAGTGGACGGGGACCCCAGCGGCAGCCGCGCAGACCCCAGCGCAGAGCCCGGCTCGGCCTCCGGTGGCCCAGTGCTCTGTGAGTGGACCCCGGCGCAGAGCCCGGCCCGGCAGGGCGGCTCTGGCCCCCGAGACCGCGCGGCAGTTGGTTCGGAAACGGCCGGCTGGAGGCTGGAGCTTCTCTCGCCCACTGCTGGGCCTGCAGGCGCAGGTGCCCGTCCCCTGCAGGTGCTCTCTAGGTGCCGGAGCGGTGAACGGGGACGGATGCCGTGGGAGGTCACACACAGCCACCGGACATCTCAGCGAGGCCCCAGATGATCCTGCGCAGGCTGAGGCGGGCGGGCCCGAGACCGGAGTGGGCCTCCCTGAAGCCGTCTGGGGGAGCGGTGGGGGCGGCCCACAGGGGGTCGTCCCGCAGCTCTGCCTTCTGAAGAGACCTGCCCAACCCCTGGAGGTGAAGGGGGTGTGTGGAGAATTCAAATGTACTTTCCAGCTCTATTCTTTTGTTCTAAAAGTCCGCATCTAAAACCTTAATTCCTGTGAACAGACCTGTTTGCTGTAGAGCCAGTTAGATGGCACGTGGGGAGCCCCTGCCCAGCCTGGCCCGGCGCGCTCAGGTGGTGTGAGGGGCGACGGGGAGAGCGCCCCGCTGCATCCTGCCTTCCCACCTGGCCCTGTCCTCGACACTGGCTCATCCTGGGGCAGGCTGGGGTTGGGTCTAATGCCACCTACGTTATGACCTAGGTAGGAGACGTCCTGGGTCAGACTGGACAAGACCCAAGGTCAGCAGAACGGGAGCACACTGCTTGTTCCCAGAATTAGCAGGACGTGCAGAAAGAACTGTTCCTCAGGGCAAACGGCCAAGGACCTGTGGAATTGCATGCAACCCAGGCGTCTTGTTATCCTGCAAACGGTACCAGATGGTGAAGGACAGGATGCAAACATCTTCCTCTCTTGTGCTATGCAAGCAAGCCAGGCGCCTTGTTATCCTGCAAATGGCACCAGACGGTGAAGGGCATCTCTTGTGCTATGTCTAGAGGAACAGGTGCTGTTGGCCCGTGGGAAGTCACGTACCAGAAAGTAGCTGAGAAAGTAGCTGAGGGACACTTGCCAAATTGAACAGTATAAAAATAAAACGACTGGTGCTTTAAGTGCTGTAGTCTTGTACCGTCTTTTGTGTCTGTGTGTTTTTGTGTGTCTTTCTGTGTCCATCCTCCATTCTGCAATCGGGCCACGACAGGGGACCTCACTACAACGTGAGCACTCGGCACAGGGGCAAGGATGGGCTGAGCCCACAAATGCCCCAGAACTGGCCATCTGGCATCTTGAAGCCATTGTCCCAGGGAGGACCCGGGACGAGCCCAAACCCAGCCTCACAGGTGTGCCCCAGGGCTGCTGTGTGCCAGCGCTGCCACCTGGGCTCCTGAGACCCTTGGCCAGGTCAAGCGCCCTGTACCTTTATCAGCAGCTCGGGACCAAGGCCAGGCCTCGAAAAGGAAGGAGCCCACAGCAAACACGGAAGCACGAGGCTGTTCTCAAGGGTGAATGACATGGCCCAGCGTGAGGGCGCCCACATCCTGTCCGGCCCACTGGGACTGGTGGCGCCACGCTGGCAGCTCCCGGCGCTCCCGTACGAGGCTCTGTGAGAGGAGAGAGCTGCGGACTGGTGCCGCTGCCGCCCAGGCCGCCCGTGTCCCGCAGCGTCCCAAGGCTGGGCACGGTGGAGCCAGGGAAGCAGGCGCTGCAGGCACAGGGCTCCTCAGGCTAGCCCTGGCAATCTGGAGCACACATGGACACGCCGGCCCAGCGCTGTGCGTGCTCACATGGATCTGACACACCGGGAGGGAGGCGTGCAGGGCAGGAAGCTGAGGCTTGGAGGGTTAAACAATGTGCCCTGGTCAGGACCAGGAGGGACGAGAGGCCTTGAGGTTTCCCCGTTCCTGTCCCCAAGGTAACGGGAGGCACGACCCAGGGAGGAAACAGGTCCACGGGCGGGCGCGGAGCCAGGAAGGTGGGGCCAGAGAGCCGGAGCAGGTGGGCGGCAGCAGACACGGGCGTCTCCCGGAGGTGCACGGAGAGAGGAGGCGGAGGTCGGGGGGTCATGTGCACAGGGCTCATGGGTTCAGTGGGTGAGGTGCGCAGGAGAGGCCGAAGGGGGTGCGTGAGAAAGGACAGCGAAGGAGAGAGGCAGAGAGACGGGGAGAGACGGAGACAGGGAAGAGGATGGGAGGGAGCAGTGATAGACAGATGGAGACAGAACTGGGGGTGCAGGGTGGGGCTCAGGGAAGGCCCCCCAGCAGCTGCCTGCGGGTGAGCACACGGTTGGGCCTCCAGCCTTCGGGAGTCCCCTCCCTCCCCAGCTCCTCGCCTGTACCCTGGGTTCCTGAGGAGGGTGAGAGGGTGGCAGGGGGCCAGGCTGCGGCTCACAGCTCGATGGAGGGGCGTTGCCAGTGTCCCCAGTCTGCAGACAGGCGCAGGAGGGGTGACTTCCTGCGAACCCACAGCTTTGTGGGTGGGGCGCCGAGGCAGAAAGCCCCAGAAACCTGTCCCTGCCTTCCCAGGGTAAAGCGCCTTCCCGCTCGGCCACGTCTCAACTGTTTAGAAGGAATCCTAAGCGGCGTCGTGGGCAACGGCGGGGTGCAGAGTGCGGGGAGCTCCACCCGAGGCGTGCACGGCCCTCCTCCTGCCAGCCCTTCCCTGCACCCTCTCTGTCCGCACCACCACCATCTCGCCTGCTGATTGCCTCTCTGCTCTGCCCCTCAGCCTGGCATTCCCACACTGGACTCCCTCACCGCACCCCATGGGGAGGCCAGGAGCACTTACTGACCCTGTGACTTTGCCTCTGCCTCAGCACGAAGCTGTGGCCACATCACTCACTCTTCCTCACTTCAGAGCCTTCTGACATGCTGTTCCCTCTATCTGAATGCCCTTCCACTCTCTGGGAAAATTCTTCCAGGAGGCTGTCCCCAAGCCCCTCCACGGATGGCCGCACCCGCTCCCTTCCTCCCAGGGCTGCCCTCTGTGCCAGCTCCCTTTGCCCAGCCTCACAGGACTGCACCCCACAAACAGGTCTTTCTGGGCAGGCACCGGGTCCCATCTCTGCTGAGGGATGCTGGGACCTAAATCTGAAGACCCCAGGCAGCTGACGACCCAGGGCCACCAGCTGGGATGAGCTCAGGCCTCCTGGCGGCGGCACAACCCCATCAGTCCTGCCGGCTCAGCAGCTTGCCAGGCGGGGACCTGTCTGGAGACTGCCAGATGCCCCGGCCCCAACTTTGCTTCTCAACAGCATCCACTGGGCTCCGGCTCTGTCCTAGGGGTGGGGTGGGGGACACCTGCCAGGATCCTAGGGGAAATCACACATGGGTGGTAGTGCTGCCGGGGCCAGAGGCTTGCAGCCTGTTTTGTCGGAGGGCGGATCCTGCATCTGCGGAGGGCCAGGCCCAGGACACGTGCTGAAATTCCGCAGTGCACGGGCAGCAGCAGAGGTGGACAGCCCAGAGCAGCAGGGCATGCAGCCCTCTCCCCTTCAGACTTCCCTTGTGACCTCCACTGGGGGACAGCTCTATGATGGCCTTATGAAGTGGTCCCTCCCAGAGCCTGTGGTCAGGAGGGCTCTCACCTGAGGAGTCCACAGCCCCCACTGGCCGGGCCCAGGCTGTGGACTTAGTAGCTTGCAGGTGGAGCAGCTATGTTTGTCAAAAGCCCCACAGGCCCAGGTTTCCCGCCCCGGCCCAGGTAGCTGCCGCGGAGCAGAAGGGCCCACAGCTGGGTCGGGAGCTGGGCAGCGTTGGCCCACCTGAGCTTCGGGGCCATCTGATCTGGCGTCTGCTCTCTGGCTTACTCCCCCAGCTGACCTCACTGTTAAAATGAGGATGGAGACCGCTCTGCCTGCCTGTTGCTCAGAGCCGAAAGACAAAGGCTCACACTGAGCTCAGATGGACTGGTCAGACCTCGGGCTCTGCCCTACCCCGCACTTTATAAACTCGGTTTTCCCATCTATAAAAGCTGGGCCTATGAGGGAGCCCAGCCCCGGTGAGCACGGACAGTGCTGAGCTCGTGACATCTCTCCCTCCTCTACTGAGTGCCAATAGGTACTCCCGATTCCAATGGTGTGTGTGGCCTGCGGCCCTGCCCGAGTGGGCCGTGACTCAGAGAGGAGACAGGGGAGCAGGAGGAAGGCGAGTGGGTGACAGAGAGTGGACAGAGGGACGACTCTCGGGGCAGGGCCCTGCCCAGGCACTGGGGGCTGGCTCGGAGGCCACAGTCCCTCCCACACCCAGCGAAGGGGGAAGGCGTCCCCTCCTTTTGCTCTTTAGGAAACAGTCCACAAAACAAAGCCTGACGCCGGGTGATTTGGCACAATGCTGGCTCTTCTGCTCCATTTAGTGGAAAAAGTGAGATAATTAAAGTCGTTGCAAGCCCAGTTACTCATCCTCCGGGCGTTCAGGTGCAGACTCGGCTGGAGCGCAGACCCCAGCGCAGAGCCCGGCTCGGCCTCCGGTGGCCCAGTGCTCTGTGAGTGGACCCCGGCGCAGAGCCCGGCCCGGCAGGGCGGCTCTGGCCCCCGAGACCGCGCGGCAGTTGGTTCGGAAACGGCCGGCTGGAGGCTGGAGCTTCTCTCGCCCACTGCTGGGCCTGCAGGCGCAGGGGTGCCCGTCCCCTGCAGGTGCTCTCTAGGTGCCGGAGCGGTGAACGGGGACGGATGCCGTGGGAGGTCACACACAGCCACCGGACATCTCAGCGAGGCCCCAGATGATCCTGCGCAGGCTGAGGCGGGCGGGCCCGAGACCGGAGTGGGCCTCCCTGAAGCCGTCTGGGGGAGCGGTGGGGGCGGCCCACAGGGGGTCGTCCCGCAGCTCTGCCTTCTGAAGAGACCTGCCCAACCCCTGGAGGTGAAGGGGGTGTGTGGAGAATTCAAATGTACTTTCCAGCTCTATTCTTTTGTTCTAAAAGTCCGCATCTAAAACCTTAATTCCTGTGAACAGACCTGTTTGCTGTAGAGCCAGTTAGATGGCACGTGGGGAGCCCCTGCCCAGCCTGGCCCGGCGCGCTCAGGTGGTGTGAGGGGCGACGGGGAGAGCGCCCCGCTGCATCCTGCCTTCCCACCTGGCCCTGTCCTCGACACTGGCTCATCCTGGGGCAGGCTGGGGTTGGGTCTAATGCCACCTACGTTATGACCTAGGTAGGAGACGTCCTGGGTCAGACTGGACAAGACCCAAGGTCAGCAGAACGGGAGCACACTGCTTGTTCCCAGAATTAGCAGGACGTGCAGAAAGAACTGTTCCTCAGGGCAAACGGCCAAGGACCTGTGGAATTGCATGCAACCCAGGCGTCTTGTTATCCTGCAAACGGTACCAGACGGTGAAGGACAGGATGCAAACATCTTCCTCTCTTGTGCTATGCAAGCAAGCCAGGCGCCTTGTTATCCTGCAAATGGCACCAGACGGTGAAGGGCATCTCTTGTGCTATGTCTAGAGGAACAGGTGCTGTTGGCCCGTGGGAAGTCACGTACCAGAAAGTAGCTGAGAAAGTAGCTGAGGGACACTTGCCAAATTGAACAGTATAAAAATAAAACGACTGGTGCTTTAAGTGCTGTAGTCTTGTACCGTCTTTTGTGTCTGTGTGTTTTTGGGTGTCTTTCTGTGTCCATCCTCCATTCTGCAATCGGGCCACGACAGGGGACCTCACTACAACGTGAGCACTCGGCACAGGGGCAAGGATGGGCTGAGCCCACAAATGCCCCAGAACTGGCCATCTGGCATCTTGAAGCCATTGTCCCAGGGAGGACCCGGGACGAGCCCAAACCCAGCCTCACAGGTGTGCCCCAGTGCTGCCACCTGGGCTCCTGAGACCCTTGGCCAGGTCAAGCGCCCTGTACCTTTATCAGCAGCTCGGGACCAAGGCCAGGCCTCGAAAAGGAAGGAGCCCACAGCAAACACGGAAGCACGAGGCTGTTCTCAAGGGTGAATGACATGGCCCAGCATGAGGGCGCCCACATCCTGTCCGGCCCACTGGGACTGGTGGCGCCACGCTGGCAGCTCCCGGCGCTCCCGTACGAGGCTCTGTGAGAGGAGAGAGCTGCGGACTGGTGCCGCTGCCGCCCAGGCCGCCCGTGTCCCGCAGCGTCCCAAGGCTGGGCACGGTGGAGCCAGGGAAGCAGGCGCTGCAGGCACAGGGCTCCTCAGGCTAGCCCTGGCAATCTGGAGCACACATGGACACGCCGGCCCAGCACTGTGCGTGCTCACATGGATCTGACACGCCGGGAGGGAGGCGTGCAGGGCAGGAAGCTGAGGCTTGGAGGGTTAAACAATGTGCCCTGGTCAGGACCAGGAGGGACGAGAGGCCTTGAGGTTTCCCCGTTCCTGTCCCCAAGGTAACGGGAGGCACGACCCAGGGAGGAAACAGGTCCACGGGCGGGCGCGGAGCCAGGAAGGTGGGGCCAGAGAGCCGGAGCAGGTGGGCGGCAGCAGACACGGGCGTCTCCCGGAGGTGCACGGAGAGAGGAGGCGGAGGTCGGGGGGTCATGTGCACAGGGCTCATGGGTTCAGTGGGTGAGGTGCGCAGGAGAGGCCGAAGGGGGTGCGTGAGAAAGGACAGCGAAGGAGAGAGGCAGAGAGACGGGGAGAGACGGAGACAGGGAAGAGGATGGGAGGGAGCAGTGATAGACAGATGGAGACAGAACTGGGGGTGCAGGGTGGGGCTCAGGGAAGGCCCCCCAGCAGCTGCCTGCGGGTGAGCACACGGTTGGGCCTCCAGCCTTCGGGAGTCCCCTCCCTCCCCAGCTCCTCGCCTGTACCCTGGGTTCCTGAGGAGGGTGAGAGGGTGGCAGGGGGCCAGGCTGCGGCTCACAGCTCGATGGAGGGGCGTTGCCAGTGTCCCCAGTCTGCAGACAGGCGCAGGAGGGGTGACTTCCTGCGAACCCACAGCTTTGTGGGTGGGGCGCCGAGGCAGAAAGCCCCAGAAACCTGTCCCTGCCTTCCCAGGGTAAAGCGCCTTCCCGCTCGGCCACGTCTCAACTGTTTAGAAGGAATCCTAAGCGGCGTCGTGGGCAACGGCGGGGTGCAGAGTGCGGGGAGCTCCACCCGAGGCGTGCACGGCCCTCCTCCTGCCAGCCCTTCCCTGCACCCTCTCTGTCCGCACCACCACCATCTCGCCTGCTGATTGGCCTCTCTGCTCTGCCCCTCAGCCTGGCATTCCCACACTGGACTCCCTCACCGCACCCCATGGGGAGGCCAGGAGCACTTACTGACCCTGTGACTTTGCCTCTGCCTCAGCACGAAGCTGTGGCCACATCACTCACTCTTCCTCACTTCAGAGCCTTCTGACATGCTGTTCCCTCTATCTGAATGCCCTTCCACTCTCTGGGAAAATTCTTCCAGGAGGCTGTCCCCAAGCCCCTCCACGGATGGCCGCACCCGCTCCCTTCCTCCCAGGGCTGCCCTCTGTGCCAGCTCCCTTTGCCCAGCCTCACAGGACTGCACCCCACAAACAGGTCTTTCTGGGCAGGCACCGGGTCCCATCTCTGCTGAGGGATGCTGGGACCTAAATCTGAAGACCCCAGGCAGCTGACGACCCAGGGCCACCAGCTGGGATGAGCTCAGGCCTCCTGGCGGCGGCACAACCCCATCAGTCCTGCCGGCTCAGCAGCTTGCCAGGCGGGGACCTGTCTGGAGACTGCCAGATGCCCCGGCCCCAACTTTGCTTCTCAACAGCATCCACTGGGCTCCGGCTCTGTCCTAGGGGTGGGGTGGGGGACACCTGCCAGGATCCTAGGGGAAATCACACATGGGTGGTAGTGCTGCCGGGGCCAGAGGCTTGCAGCCTGTTTTGTCGGAGGGCGGATCCTGCATCTGTGGAGGGCCAGGCCCAGGACACGTGCTGAAATTCCGCAGTGCACGGGCAGCAGCAGAGGTGGACAGCCCAGAGCAGCAGGGCATGCAGCCCTCTCCCCTTCAGACTTCCCTTGTGACCTCCACTGGGGGACAGCTCTATGATGGCCTTATGAAGTGGTCCCTCCCAGAGCCTGTGGTCAGGAGGGCTCTCACCTGAGGAGTCCACGGCCCCCACTGGCCGGGCCCAGGCTGTGGACTTAGTAGCTTGCAGGTGGAGCAGCTATGTTTGTCAAAAGCCCCACAGGCCCAGGTTTCCCGCCCCGGCCCAGGTAGCTGCCGCGGAGCAGAAGGGCCCACAGCTGGGCAGCGTTGGCCCACCTGAGCTTCGGGGCCATCTGATCTGGCGTCTGCTCTCTGGCTTACTCCCCCAGCTGACCTCACTGTTAAAATGAGGATGGAGACCGCTCTGCCTGCCTGTTGCTCAGAGCCGAAAGACAAAGGCTCACACTGAGCTCAGATGGACTGGTCAGACCTCGGGCTCTGCCCTACCCCGCACTTTATAAACTCGGTTTTCCCATCTATAAAAGCTGGGCCTATGAGGGAGCCCAGCCCCGGTGAGCACGGACAGTGCTGAGCTCGTGACATCTCTCCCTCCTCTACTGAGTGCCAATAGGTACTCCCGATTCCAATGGTGTGTGTGGCCTGCGGCCCTGCCCGAGTGGGCCGTGACTCAGAGAGGAGACAGGGGAGCAGGAGGAAGGCGAGTGGGTGACAGAGAGTGGACAGAGGGACGACTCTCGGGGCAGGGCCCTGCCCAGGCACTGGGGGCTGGCTCGGAGGCCACAGTCCCTCCCACACCCAGCGAAGGGGGAAGGCGTCCCCTCCTTTTGCTCTTTAGGAAACAGTCCACAAAACAAAGCCTGACGCCGGGTGATTTGGCACAATGCTGGCTCTTCTGCTCCATTTAGTGGAAAAAGTGAGATAATTAAAGTCGTTGCAAGCCCAGTTACTCATCCTCCGGGCGTTCAGGTGCAGACTCGGCTGACAGGTGCCTGCTCTCATGGTGCAACACCACGGCCCAGCACCTTGCAAACCCACGCCAGGAAAAGACGGCCCATTTCTCATATTCATAAATGTTCTCTTAAATTCCAGAAGGTCCCCTTAACAGGGAAAAGGGGAGCCCTGCCGCAGCTTGCATCTGGGTAGGCTGCTTCACCTCTCCCAGCCTCGCTTTACCCATCTGCATGTGGGGGTCACAATGCCGGCCGCTTGTGTACCCAGTTCTCCTCTTTCCTTTGGGGAAAGCCTCCTGCCCCATCCCTGTGGACTGTCAATCACAGTGCTCTCCCCACCCCCTGGCCTGGCCACCTGTGGCATGTGATATTCATGTCCATGCTGATTGGCTTAAAAAGTGAACATATGACCCAAACAGAGCCAATCAGATCCTTCCATGAGAGTTTTACGTAGACTTGAGGGCGGGGTTGGGGGCTTTGAGGATAATGGACAGTGGACTTCTCTGGGGCCATCATCCCAGCACGGAGGGGATGCCATCTGCAGTGGGTGAGGATAGGCCAGTGCATAAGGAGAAGCAGGGAGGATTAAAGATGGGAAAGGACGGAGAGAAGGAGATGGCCCCAAAGAGACAGTGTGAGTCCTTGGCTGGGACTTCTCGGCACAAGCTCAGGCTTGTCTCCCTTCTGCAACTGAAGATGCTCAGCTGGCACAAACCCTTCCACGCAGGAGGACAGGTTGAGGAGAGCTTCAGGGAGGAGGGGCCATTGGAGCTGGTGTTGGAGGGTCAGGTGGGTACCCAGGGAGGGGCAAAAGCACCGGAGCACCTACTGCCAGTGTGGACCGGGACCTTGCCAAGGGCTTCACACACTCTCTCTCTTCCTCAAAACAGCCACGAAGGTCACAGTTGATTAGAACCACTTTCCAGGTAAGCAGACAGCGAGGCCCAGAGACTTACTGGAGCACACAGCGGGGAGACGGTAGAATGTGGGCCAGAAATTGAGGGGCCTGGCGCAGCGCAGCTGCCCTTCCCCCGCCAGGCTGCCCCAGCCGCCGTGCCGGAGTCGGGTGAGGGCCGCCGTCCACGGGGACATACATGGGAGCCAACCGGGAGCCGGTCAGGGCTCGGAAGGCGTGCTTTGTCTGCAAGGGCGTGGGGTGCGGGGCACCACTTGCTCATGCCCTGAGCCTCTGAGCTCCTGGAAGGCAGGGCCCAGGGCCTGTTTATCTTGGGATCCCCGTCCCCGGGGCGCCAGGCTCAGAATAAAGTGGAAGGTGGTGGCAGGCGTCTACGCCTCCCGGAGATGTCAACAGCCATCACGCGACACTCAGGCCCTGAGAGAGGCCACCCCACCCTGTGGGGAGGCAGAGGCGAGGAGAAAACGCGGCCGACGCCAGGGCATGGGAGGAAAGCCCAGGAGGCTGGGGCGAGGCAGAGAGGACCTGAAGGCTTCCTGGAGGAGGTGATGGCAGGCAAGTCAGGTGGAGTGTGCCCGGGCAGTGTGCTGGGGGGCAGAACAGAGCCTGGGAGGAGGAGGCCGGGGTGGCCCGCGAAAGGCAGGACAGGGCGGCCGCTTCTGGCGCTGGGAACAGGCGTTGCCTGGCCCCGGGCGCCCCCTGGTGGCTACCTGAAGGAAGGCCAGGAAGCGAGTCCCAGCCAACAGGGAGCTGACCCACAGCAGCTGGCTGGAACCACCTAGTCCCAGCTAGTCCCTCTCCTGCAATTCTAACGGCCACTGCTCGCCGGCCCGGTCGAGTCGGGGCCTGCAGTTCAGGAGTGTGCGGAGCCTCACCGGGGCGTCCGCCCGGAGAGCGTCCTGTCCAGGAGGACGCAGCCGTGCCGGCCCAGTCTCAGGCCCCTGGTTTTCTGAGTGACCTTCAGTGGACCCGTGGCTAGCAGGGCGGCCCCGCTGGCTGAGCACGGCCCTGCGTGGAGACCCCACAGGTCTGGGGAACGCCAGGATGGCGCGACTCTGGGGACCCCCGTCCCTGGACATAGCTTGGCCCCACCCGGCGCAGCCCTGCCCCAGTGGCCCCTCCCGGCTGGCCCTCCCGTGTCTGGCCCCTCCCTCCCCCACACGCTACCCTGACGGTCCCAGTGTGCTGCTCAAAGCCACAGGACCACAGCGTGGCAGCTTTCACGTGACCACGGCAGCACCGGCCACCCTCAGAAGTCCCCAGGAGCCCAGGCCTGTCAGCTGACTGATGCCGCCAGGGCAGACACACGCTGGTGGCACCTGAGTCAGGGCTGCAGCCCTCACCCCACCCTCCTTGACCACCGGCCGGACCGACTGCGGGGGCGACGCCAGCGGCCCCTCTGCAGGAAACGCGGTGGGGGATCTTCTGATCCAGCACCAGTGTGGTCTTTGTGCTCCGCCGCCTTTCCACCTGGAGACCCCTTCTGGATTCGGGCAGCCGGACCGGGAGGCGTCCAGGCCTCAAGGTGGCAGCAGGAGGAGGCCCCAAAGCCCCTCGGCTGGGAGCTCCGGAGGAGCCCGCTGCGTGCTCGGACCCCACGCCCTGCAGGGCAGGAGCAGCAGCTGCCGTGGCCTGGAAGGGACGGCCAAGGAGGGGCTTCCGGCCTCCAGGCCAGAGAAGTCCCTGCGCGGGGAGAAGACACGCAGAGGTGAGGCTGAGCCCAGGCGAGGGGCACGGGCACACACGCCAGGTGGCGAGGGCTGGGCCCCAGGCCACTGGGCTGGGAGAGCAGCTGGGCCTGTGGGCCACGGCAGCCCAGCGAGGGCAGGGCTGTGCGGAGCCGGGGCCCCAGGCGCAGAGCAGGGCCACCGCCAGAAAGAAGCGCGCAGCTGGACTGCAGGAGGCGCAGCAGTGGGCCAATGTCTGCAGAGCGAGGCTGGCTCAGGGCACACAGGTGGGGACAGATGACAGTGGCCAAGGGACAAATCCTTTCCTCCCCATGGAGAACGAGGTGCTGGGATGCAGCCCTCACCTCTGACGAGCTGGGGAGGGCACATCGGTGGGGACTCCGAACCGATTGAACATGTTCCCACTGCCACCCACAAAGCATTCTGTCTAGTTACAGATGAGGAAAGTTCCACTTCCTGCACCTTGAACCAGAGCACGGACAGTGGACACCTGCTACCCGGGGTGCGCCCCACTCCGCCGCGCCCACTGCAGGGGTGCGCCCCATTTCGCTACCTCGATTCATCAAGGCTTATTAACCCGTGATGCACCGTGCCCAGGTCACCAGGGAGGCTCCTGGGGGCAGAAGCTCTCCCTACCGTGCGGAGGGTGGGGCCGCCGAAGCCTGGGGGTTACCTGTCACTTCCATTCCAGGCGCATTCGAACTTGTCGAAAATGCAGTCGTTCTCATACAGCGAACAGAGCTTGCTCCGAAGGTAGTCGTGGACCTGGCGAAGGAAGGGGTGACGTGAGTGGCAGGGTGCCGGCTGCCCTGCCCTCCGAGAGCAGGGTCTGGAAGAGCAGCAGGGCCTGGGTGGCATCCCACAGGGCCCTGCTCACCCGCAGGGCCCACAGCACACCGCCAACCTCTCTGCTGTGGCCAGAGAGGGGACAGCACCTGTTACATACACCGTGACAAAGGGAACACTCACAGCACAGGGCCAGGACCTGCCGCCCCTCCCCAGCTGTGCGATCTTGGACGAGTGACTTCACCTCTCTGAGCCTCTGTTTCCTCACCTTTGAAGCACCGACAGCAAACCTGGGCTGCCCTGGGCCCGAGTGCGGGACAGTGCTCGGCATGGGTCAGCCCTCGAGGGTGACAACTGTGCGGAGCCGTGAACATAGGGCAGCCCTCACCAAGAAAAGGGCTCCTCACAAAAGCCGGGACTCGGCCCGTCCACGACGTGAGGCACCAAGGCTCAGAAGGGCTAGGTGACTGGCCCAAGGCCGTAGAGCGCGTCAGTGGCTGAGCAAGGCCCTTGCCCAGGACCGCCGGGCGCCACAAGACAGACGGGCATGCCCAGGCCCTGCGCCCCTGGCCGCAGCCCGACCCCACGAGCTCTGTGCCGAGGGCCTCTCGTGCCGCTCTGCTGAGGCTGGGGCTGCCGGGACCCGCTCCGCATCGCAGGGGCCTGGCTCCCGCTCCTGACGTCGGGGCCTGGGGGGCAAGGCCGGCGGTCGCAGGGAATGTGAGGCCCTGCAACGGCTGATTCCACGCGTCGCCTCGGCTGAGCCTCGGTGCCCAGATGCTTGGCCAAGCCCTGTTCCAGATGTTTCTGTGAAGGCATTTTTATTTATTTTGTATTTGTTTTTTCCTCTTATTATTTATTTATTTTTATTTTTTTGAGACAGAGTCTCACTCTGTTGCCCGGGCTAGAGTGCTGTGGCATCAGGCTGGCTCACAGCAACCTCAGACTCCTGGGCCCAGGCGATCCTCCTGCCTCAGCCTCCCGAGTAGCTGGGACTACAGGCATGCGCCACCATGCCCGACTAATTTTTTCTATATATTTTTAGTTGTCCAGCTAATTTCTTTCCATTTTTTTAATAGAGACGGGGTCTTGCTCTTGCTCAGTCTGGTTTCGAACTCCTGACCTTGAGCGATCCTCCTGCCTCGGCCTCCCAGAGTGCTAGGATGACAGGCGTGAGCCACCGCGCCCGGCCTGTTTCCGTGAAGGTATTTGTTAGATGAGATGGACACTGAAATCAGGAGACTTGAGTGGAGCAGACGGCCCTCCACCGTGCGGCTGGGCCTCCTCTGGTCAGTCCAAGGCCTGAGGAGGCAAAGACTCACCTCCCTCCCTGGGGAGGGCGTGTGGCCAGTGGACGGCCTTCGGGCTCGAGCTGAAACTGCCCCGGGTCGCCAGCCTGCCCGGCAGATTTCGCACATGCCACACCTCGCCATGGGAGCCAACTCCTTAAGATCGCTCCCTCCCTCCCTCACCTGCCCTCTCCCCATCCTGCTGGTTCCGTTGGCCCAAGCGCGACTCCGCGGCAGGGACACGGCGGGCGGTGGAGTCCGGGCAAGACGGCGTGCGCCCACTGCTGTCTGCTGCAGGCCGGGCGCGGGAGGGGCCACGCAGCCCCCGGGCCGGGCCCTGCTCACCCCTCCCCAGGGCCGTGCCCGGCCCTCGGGTCCGCTGGGTTCCTGCCTGTCTGGGACCCTTGTGGCGAGGCCGGGGACCTCGCGCTGCATATGTGTGACCGCTGACACCCAAGTGCTGGCACCCTCCTGCCTGCTCCGTCCACCTGCTTGGTCCCAGCAGCCCTGGTGACGCACACACCCAAACAGGGCGCCGTTCTCTCCGGTGACCACGCGGCGCCTGCCCCCTGGTGGCAGGGTGAGGAAGAGCGTCAGTTCCAGCGCCACAAGAGGCTGGAAGGGACGAAGGACCCATCCTCCTAGAGCCTTCAGAGAAGGTGCCGCCCTGCTGACACCGCGGCTTGGCCCAGGCAGGCTGAGTTCGGACCGCTGGCCTCCAGAGCCGTGAGAGAATGCGTTCTGTCGTTTTGCGCCAATCTCGGTCCGCTGCTTGCGAGTTTTGTCTCCACATGCCATTTGACTCAGTTGTCTTCAAATAAAATGGGCTGGGGAGCATGCTGATCCCACCTCCAAGGACAGCTGGTGATGCAAGTATGCCAGAGACTCAGCCCAGTGTAGCCCGCTCAACACCCGTCGCCATCCCTCACCCGCCTGCCTTAGCCACAGAGGCTGGAAAACTCACTTTCCCAGCCAGCCCCATTCTAGCCAATGAGTTGTAGGGTGTCTTCTGAGGAAGCTTTTTGATCCAGTATAATAAGCAACAGACCCAGTGGGTGTGGTCTTTTGCATTTCCTCCTATTTCCCACCTGGAATGCAGGCAAAGTGCCTGAGATGTGGCAGCTGTTTTCCCACCATGAGGTCCCACACATGAAGGTGGAAAACCAACACCCGAGTGATGGTGGACTGGAACACAAAAGGAACCACTGGGACACTGATGAGGTCATGGAGCCACTCACCATTCCTGGGCTGCTTCCTCCAGACTCCTCACGATGGGAAGAAAATAGCCCTAATTTAAGTCGGCAAGTAGACCAAACATAGCCCTGCTATACACAATTCCTACACATAATAAGTCACCAAAATGTTAGCTGCGTGTTGCTTTCATGTGATTATTATTATTGCCTTAGAATCAATAGGCCAGCCGGGCCAAGGCCAGGCGCCTGGCTCTGGGCCTCGCCCTCCCCGGTCACCTGCCAGGTCTTCACATGCTTCCTGGGCCCTCGGAAGACTCTCTGAAGGCTCACAGCCTTTCCCACGGAGCCCCACGGAAACGCTCGAGTGGTCTCAGGCTTCATGAGCCTTCACGGACGAAGGGACTTGACAGGCTGAGGCTTTGGGGGCACAGAGACAGTCGTGCCCTGAGCTGTCCCCCGGAGGCAGCGAGATAGTCACTCCTGCAGGCCTGAGCGAGGGTTACTTGTTCCTGCCCCAGTCTTGGGCCATTTCCAGAGGGACGGAGGAGGGACTGATCCCGGCCTGGGGTGCACAGCGTGAGGAGGGGCCCGAGGGCGGGGCCACAGGGCTCCAGCGAACACAGGCGTCTGACACAGGGCTGGCGCCAGCAGGCACCCTCGTGGGCATGTGGCTCCCAGGAGCGCACGTTCACACCTGGCCCGGGTCAGGCTCAGCACCCCGGCCTTGGAGGGAAGGGACGTGCAGGACCTGAGCCCGGGCTCTGAATGTGTCACTGCCCAGCTGAGAGACGGCTCCCTCGTATCCGGACCGCTCAGTGCTCCCACTCTGCCCCCACCCAACAGGCCGGCGAGCAGTGGAGCTGGGATGGAAAGCACGTGGCCCTGCTCCGGTGGTGCCTCCCCTCCCACCTCTGCATGGCCAGGTCCTGCTCACCCTTCAGTGCCCAGCACAAATGCCGCCTCCTGCAAGAAGCCTCCCTGATCTCCCGGCTAGAGGCAAGACTGGGACCAGCGCTGAAGCAGTCCCACGGTCCTTCCTAGTCCGTGTTTTATGTTAAGATCACACGACTTTCCTTTTCTACCCCTGACACGTCTGGAGGAATCGTAACAGAAAACAATAAATAACACTTTCCAGGAAGGTGCCCGGCTGTCCCCTGTGCCTGCTCACGAGCCGCGCTGAGGGTCCAGCAACGTGACAGGCTCGCAGTCCCTCCCCAAGCGCTGTTTTCGTGTCCACCAAGGGCAAGCCTCGACGCTCGGCGGAGAGACCGTGCACGCCGGCTCCTGGGAGGGCAGCCGCCAGCGCCCGCGCCCGCACCCGGCACCGCCTGGCGCTGCCCTGTCCCCATGCCCCTGCGGGGCCGGGCTGAGCCTCACTGTCTCCTGCAGACGGGCGTGTGGGCCCTGCACGGAGCCTCGGCACAGGGCAGGGAGACCTGGGGGCTCCCGCCATGGCACCCACCTGGTAGGTCTCTATGGGTCGTGCCTCCATGTTCAGGTCCCAGACCTTGACCGTGAGGTAGTCCCGGGTGAGCATGTACCGGCCGCTGTGGCTGAACTTCACGTCCGACACGGAGGAGATGATCTCTGAGAAGAAGGAGCGGTTACTGGGGTCCTCCGGCTCCTCAAAGACTGCGGGGACAGAGAAGCAATGACGGTCACTGGCTGCCCCGCCCGCAGGGTGGGGACGACAGACGCCCCGTCCTCCGGGGCTCATGCTGTCCAGACAGCCCTCCTTCCGCCAGGCCGGGGGCAGCGTGGCTGGGGGGCTCCTCTGTGCGGAGCCGCGTCTGCATGCCCAGTCGGTCCGGCTCCCGCTCCAGCGCAGACCCACGCCGCCGGCGTCAGGGCGGGAGGCGGAGATGGGAGCCAGGCCTGTCCGCGGCGTGCTGCCCTCCGCCTGCCGGCGGCGCGGGTGCCACGCTGCGAGGGCGCCTGGCATTCTCGGACGTGCTGGACACGGTGTCCCTGGCGAGTCCTGGGACCCCGCCAGCAGGGCAGTTCACGGTACCCTGGGCACAGGCAGGTTGGCCTGGCAGCCACACGGTTATCAATGACACCAAACTGCACTGCCACTGCGTGTCCTGTTTGCCGCCTGCCACCGTCTCCTGTTACCTGGGCCCAGCTGCTCCACATGGGAAGTGGCTCACCTGGCCCCCGAAGGCAAGTCTGCTGCCCCGAGGGGCAGCTGCGCGGGCCACGCACAGCCAGGGCTCCCGCGCAGCACCCGGCCCCGCTGCCCCCGACAGCCCGGCCCTGCTCAGCTGGGAGGGCCCCACGCAGGGGACAAGCAGTGCTGTCTCTGTCTGTCCCACTAGGGCCGGGGGTGGGGGGTGGGGATGAGATCTGGGCCAGGGAGAGGCCCAGGGACCCCTGGAGGAGGATGGGTGGTGGGCTGGGCCCAGGGACCCCTGGAGGAAGATGGGTGGTGGGCTGGGCCCAGGGACCCCTGGAGGAGGATGGGTGGTGGGCTGGGCCCAGGGACCCCTGGAGGAGGATGGGTGGGTGGGCTGGCCCAGGGACCCCTGGAGGAGATGTGGTGGCTGGCCCAGGACCCCTGGAGGAGGATGGGTGGTGGGCTGGGCCCAGGGACCCCTGGAGGAGATGGGTGTGGGTGGGCCCAGGGACCCCTGAGGAGCGGATGGGTGGTGGTTGGGCCCAGGGACCCTGGAGGAGGATGGTGGTGGTTCTGGGCCCAGGACCCCTGGAGGAGGAATGGGTGGTGGGCTGGGCCCAGGGACCCCCTGCGAGGAGATGGGTGGTGGGGCTGCCAGACCCCTGGAGGAGGATGGGTGGTGGGCTGGGCCCAGGGACCCCTGGAGGAGGATGGGTGGTGGGCTGGGCCCAGGGACCCCTGGAGGAGGATGGGTGGTGGGCTGGCTGCCAGTTACCAGCCAATCTGGAAGGACTTCAACATTTGACAACTTGTCCAGTGTCCCCTGGAAACAGCTGGGGGCAGCCCGGCCTAGTGGCCTGTTCTGTGTCTCTGGCCTGAAATGGGGAGGCGGAGCTGACCACAGCTCCCCAGGGCTCCGAGAGCCCCTCCCTGTTGGCCCCTCGTCACGGGGTTTCGTGTCCTGCTTCCCAGGCCTGTCCCAGCCCCTCAGTGGGGGCCCGTCACCCGTCATCCCTCCTGCCCAAGGCAGACGCTGTTCCTGGCCACCACCTTTCCAAGAAATATTAGTGTAACTCCTGTCTAGCTCCCTTCCGCAGGGCGGCTGGAGACACTCCGCGCCCCTCGGATGCCCACAGATGCCCACGCACTCACTCACGGACGGTCCTCTCTGAGTGCCTGCCTACCCTGTCCCAGGCCCTTGGGTGACACAGTGACCATCACAAAACCGCCACCCCCATGTCACTGAGACAAACAATAAAACTAAGTGACAAACTACACGGCTAGGCAGTGTCGGTGCAGGGAAGTGACCTGGGGCCAGTGAGGAGACAGAGTGGTGGGGGCTGGTCACTTAGACGGGCACCGGTGGCAGGTGAAGTGTGAGCACAGATCTGAAGTGAGAGAGAGAACAGTGGAGACACCTGCAGAGGAGCACTCTGGGCAGCAGGATGAGCACGTGCAAAGGCCCTGAGGCAGGGACAGACTGCAGGCCAGTGTAGGCAGAGACAGGAGTGAGCAAGGGGAGGGGCCACCCCATGCAGGACCCTGTTGGCCACAGTGAGGGGTGAGAACGCCGTTGTCAGGCAGGTGGGAGCCACTGAGGGGCCAGGGCTGCACAGCAGACGTCACTGTCCTTACCCCAGGCCCCTGGGCGTGGGGAGGGGAGGGAAGCTGCTTACAGGGCAGGAAAAGGCTCCTGTGCTTGCCTTTGTCCTCCGGGGTCCACAACATCCTTGCAGGAAGGAAGGGAGCCCTCCCTCCTGAGCGGGTCTGAAGAGCTCGCCCCGCCTCGCCTCTGATCGCAGAGCGCCTCCCGCCCACGCCCCGGCCCTGCGCCCCAGCGCCTCGCCCACGGGGGAGCCCAGCGCCTCGCCCACGGGGGAGCCCAGAGCGCCTCGCCCACGGGGGAGCCCAGAGCGCCTCGCCCACGGGGGAGCCCCAGCGCCTCGCCCACGGGGGAGCCCAGCGCCTCGCCCACGGGGGAGCCCAGAGCGCCTCGCCCACGGGGGAGCCCAGCGCCTCGCCCACGGGGGAGCCCAGAGCGCCTCGCCCACGGGGGAGCCCAGAGCGCCTCACCCACGGGGGAGCCCAGCGCCTCGCCCACGGGGGGCCCCCCAGCCCCTGCCTTGCCACAGCAGAGCGGAGCAGAGCAGAACATGCTGTGTGACCCCAAGAGAGTCTCTGAACCTCTCTGAGCCCAAGTTCCCTCATCTGGAGAACAAAAATGATGGGACCTCCAGAGGTAAGACCTGCAGACACCCGGCCCAGCCACGTGGTGGCGACTCGGAGTAGCCTGCTCAAATTAAACCATATAGTATTCCCGAGTTATGTTTTCATATTTTCATTTTCTCTCTCCTGCAGTTCCTTTTCCCATTTTTAGCCCATCATTTCCTGCTAACTCCTATATACACTTTCAGTAACCCCGACCTTGCACACCCTGCATCCTGAGGTCGTCGCTCAGCATGCTCTCCAGACAAAATCAACCATGCTTCCGTGTGCTGGCCTGCGAGCCCCGGACAACCTCTCCGTGGCGTGGGCGGAGGGGCCACCCGCCCCATGTGGCCGGCGAGCGCTTGGGCAGGATCCACGCCTGGTCACCGGTCTCGGGCCCCTGCAGACAGGGCCTCTCTCGTGTGCTGGCCCTGCGTCGCCGCTCCGTCCTTTCCTGACTTTCTCCTTCCGCAACCCAATGCACATTTATCACCCCAGTTCCCAGCGCAGCGCGAGCCCTTCCCCGGCCGGGAAGTGGCCCGAGCGCTCCAGCACCTCGCCGTGTCCCTCTAGGGGGCCCGCCCCGCTCCTGCTCTGCCTTGCAGCAAGCGGCCAGTCTCGTCCCAGCAGGTGGGCGGTGGGCCACGCGAGGGACATCAGGCGTTCCATGGCAGAAAAGGCACAGGCCTGAGCCACACCCCCACGGACGAGAGAGCAGTCGGCACAACCGGTGGGGGGAGAGGGCGTTGGTGGGGGGAGAGGGCGGTGGTGGGGGAAGGGCGTTGGTGGGGGGAGAGGGCCGTTGGGTGCGGGAGAGGCGTTGGTATGGGGAGAGGGCGTTGGTGGTGGGAAGGCGTTTGGCGGGGGAGAGGCGTTGGTGGGGGGGAGAGGCGTTGGTGGGGGAGAGGGCGTTGGCTGCTGGGAAGGGCGGTTGGTGGGGGAGAGCGTTTGTGGGGGAAGGGCGTGGTGTGGGAGAGGGCCGTTGGTGGGGGGAGAGGGCGGTGGTTGGGAGAGGCGTTGTGGTGGGAGTAGGGCGTTGGTGGGGGGAGAGGGCGTTGGTGGGGGAGAGGGCGGTGGTGGGGGAGAGGGCGTTGGTGGGGAGAGGGCGTTGGTGGTGGGGAGAGGGCGTTGGTGGTGGGGAGAGGCGTGTGGTGGGAAAGAGGGCGTTGGTGGGAGAGGGCAGGTTGGCTGGGGGGAGAGGGCGTTGGTGGGGGAGAGGGCGTTGGTGGTGGGGAGAGGGCGTTGGTGGGGGAAGGGCGTTGGTGGGGGGAGAGGCGCGTGGTGGGTGGGGAGGGGGCGTTGGTGGGGGAAAGGGCGGTGGTGGGGAGAGGGCCTTGGTGGTGGGGAGAGGGCGTTGGTGGGGGGAGAGGGGCGTTGTGGAAGGGCTTGGTGGGGAGAGGGCGGTGGTGGTGGGGAGAGGGCGGTGGTGGTGGGAGAGGGCGTTGGTGGGGGAAAGGGCGTTGGTGGGGGGGAGAGGCGTGGTGGTGGGGAGAGGGCGTTGTGGGGAAGAGGCGGCTGGTGGTGGGAGGGCGTTGTGGGGGAGAGGGCGGTGGTGGTGGGGAGAGGGCGTTGGTGGGGGGCAACGAGGGCTGCGGCTGGTGGGTGGGAGAGGGCGTTGGTGGGGGGAGACGGCGCGTTGGTCGGGGGGGGACAAGACGGCGTGGGGGGGGAGAGGGCGGTGGTGTGGGAGCACGCCGGCGATTGGTCGGGGGGAGAACAGGGCGTTG